GTCATCGTTTCTCTCTAAGTCGCGCCGTTCCAGGCCAAAGTGCGTGCTTGGTTTCTCTCTCAACTCAACTGATTAAATGTACTATCTCTTGTATCGCTGAAAGACGACAAAAGTAGAAATCACTATACTCTCAGAAAATTAGAGATTTTGTCGCCTTTTCTCGTTTGTGATTTTTTTTCTAAATTCGAATTTTCTATACCTACATTTAAAAAAAATTCAAAATTTGCCGCCCCTTATTGATTTGCCGCCATGGGCCGCAGCCCACGTGGCCACCCCTTTAATCTGGCTCTGTTATTCAAGCAAAACTCCGATTGAATTAAGCGTATGTTTTCTAATCAAATTGTTAAACAGTGGACTCTAGATCCTTGAGACTTTCTTATCCAGTGCATGTGGAGATGTAAAGACGAACAGGGGAACAGGTGAAAGGACTAAAAGCCACCATTCCTCGTCTTATCTTAGAAACAACGCGTGTGCCGTTAGTTTCCCAGAGCAGATAGGTGCTCCCACGAATGAAACAAAGAGATCAAAATTACCAATTGTAAAATGTAGTCCAAATATGCCGAGGGCAAAAGAATGTCAGGGTAGGTGTTTTTCTGCCCATCGACGTAATCGCGCGCTTCATGAACGTCACAGAACCGTTATTTTGCGTTAAATGACATTCTACGACTGTTGCAAAGCGTCAATTGTATTTTTTAAACAATTAATCTGACATTTTACCGTGAAACAAGGTGGTAGGTGGTTATTCCACCTACAACAACTTGTTTAAAATCAACCTTCTTAATGTGAATTCTGAAATATTTTCCAAAATTGCACACCGAGTCGTTCGTAGGGTATAACCAATCACACGAAAATGCTTCGGCAGTTTTCTTATGGCTCAAAATCAGCGACGAATCTAAATAATCAAAACTTCAAATACGACTTTCTGACAACTATGTTTTCCGCTGTAGGTGGTTATTCCAGCTAAGACCTTAATTGACTTCACTCCATCCGAAAAGAATGAAATCGAATAAGTGATTTCGAAACACCACACACTGGAAAAAAACACATTGGATCTAGAGTCCAGACTCTTGAAAACATTGACAAGAAAATGGACTCTTGATTCAATCAGATTTAAGCTTAAATTAAAAGGAAATCCGCTCAAATTAAGAGGCTTGGTTCTTGATTTAAGCTTACATCTGATCGAATCAAGAGTATTTTTTCTTGTCGATGTTTTTAAAAGTCTGGACTCTAGATCCAATGGGGGTTTTTTTTTTCCAGTGTAGATACGTGGTTCCGCACTGTAGCCATCGATATGTATGCAAAAGCTCTTGCGTCTAGTTTATCCTGATTCGTACTGAACTCTTTTCCTTTAAAATTCCGTCTTCCTTTTCGACGAGCTGCACGCGGAGGGATCCCCTTTCATCCCTTCATCTTGACTACTCCGCTGACTGGAAAAGTGGGATTGCCCTGGAAAGACGATTCGCGTTAATAGGTTTTTCATCGCAACCGCGTGCCAGCTCCATCTCCGTCTCCGTGCTTTGCGATGTGTCGATTGATCGGCCATTTAAACCCATGGATAAGGATCGATAAGCAGGGTGTCACCTTAATAATCGATTCTTTACCACAGCTTCAGACGAGGAGATATCGATAATCGATCCTTCTCGCCCCGTCTCGGCGGATGACATTCCTTCAGCGGCGCGCCTTCACCCCCAACTCGCGAAGGGCTGGCGCGAGGCAGGATTTCGCGCTGCGACGCGCGATCGGAGAGCGATAAAACTCCACATGAAATCTTAAAATCGTTTAAAATTCACAAAAGGAATGCGAACTTTCTAAATTAGCGGTGGAAAGTTTACCTTGCCCCCCTTGTTTATTTATTCTGGGTTGTGAGCGCGCGAGAAAGCAGCGCCGCGTTGCCACTTGGCATGGAATAAACGTGAACCCCCTTTAAAGGGGGCGCTCATTAAGTACATAACGCTCTAAAGGGGAGGGGGTAGGAGTCTGCGTTACGCTGCGTATAAAGGGGAGGATGGCGTTATATATTTCCCTCTACTGGTAAAAAACACACGAACTCGAAATTATCTCACCCTCATCGCTTTTTTGACGTTGTCACTTTTTAAGAAGTTAGAGAGCCTCCAAAAATCAGTACTTTAACAGTACTTTTTCAGTACATTCCCAAGACATTCAGTACCTCCTTGTCAGAAAAATTCAGTACTGTTTTAGTACTGTACTGTTTCATTAAACGAAATTGAACACTTTCAAACAATTTCCGAAATTTTGAATTTCTCGCTCAAATTACAACAAAAATGACGAAAATTCCAGACCTTAATGCAGAATTTCCACACTTTATCAGTTTCAGTACTTCCGGGCCGCCATAAAAAATCAGTATTATTTCCGGACTTGTGGACACCCCACCTCTTCTCACCTCTTCTCTTCATCTGTATCTTGATTTCTTTAACTTGTTTCCTTACCTCTTCATGTTTCTCATTTTCTCTCCATTTTTCAAAATCGTATTTTTCGTCCTAATTCCTGGAGGCTCTTTTATTAACTCCTTAAATGTTCAGTTTATATCATAATTACAAACCCAGCGATCTACCAGGCCGAATCTCGTTATTTTGAGGCTATAGACAGGTAATGATGTCCAGATAAACCCGCTCCCTTCAAAACTTCAAATAACGACGCTGCCCCTCCTCCTCGCGAGACCGGGGAGGAGCCCCCAGTTATTTCAATTGCAAGTTTTGCAGAGGGGGGAGGTTACCTGGAGCTCATCGCGTACTTAGCACCTTTCAAATCTGCATTTTTTCCCCGGATGCGAGGCAACTCCGGGCCGGGTTTTCCTCCCTGCGGCTGAGATTATAAGTGTTTTAAACGTAACATGCTTTCATCCGTGAGGCGCGCTCTATTCCTCCTCCCCCGCCCACCCCACTGCCTACTGCGGCTGCTGTGTTCCTCCTCGGGGACATGGGTGGGGTTGCGCGGGGGCCCCCGAGCAGCCCCCTCGTAATCCACGGCAAGCCTGTGTTTTCCGCACTTTCCTCACCGCGGACTATAAACAGCGACCCCACCGCGGGCCCTCAATTTGCAAGGATCCGTCCCAAATTCCGGGCGCATCTCTGTTTTCAGATGGATCTATCTCGTCTCGGTCAGCTGGGTCCTGCGGCTTCGATATCCGACTAACTTGGAATATTCAATAATATTGCTTTTCGGAGGTGCCCTCTGCGGAACGGACAACTTTGATCGAAATCAGCCTGGAGGGGGGATGGGGGCTCATAAATTACGTCACAAACTTTAGTCGACTTCCAGACTCCTTTCTCCACCCTCCAACGGGACTTTGATCCACCATTGTGAATGAAAAAAGTATGGATTGTTTGATCCTTTTCGTTACCTGATTTAGGTAAGAGATGATTCAAACCATCATCTACCTGGTGCAGAGTAAAACAATTGGACAATTTTAGCACAGAGGAACTAATATGCAAAGTTACTGGAGCTTTTTCAAAAGTTTACAAAAGCCTTAGAGGAGGATTAACGTTCATCTTCCTCTTCAGACGAGAATGACTTTTCACCCTCAAACAAAACTCAAAAAAATAAAAAAACACCTATCCAGGGCACACCAGGGCGACTGATGGCAAATGTGATGTTTCTTCAATTAGCCGGAAATAGTAATTCCTAACTACAAGATGTACGTGGTTCAATTTGCATACTGGCTTGACTTAAAATGGATGTACTACAATAGAGAAGAGACGGGCTGAAACCAATTTCAGGTGAAAGGATTTTCATAACTATTAAAAATTAGGGACTCAAAAGCCACTGAAAACCATATGGTGTTACAGTCAGACTGTGAAACTCACTTCTTGACTCAGAATAATAATTCAGACGTCTATTCACTGTGTGAATTTAGTATGGTAATTTTTCCCCGATATTTTGTCTTAATTTTGGGACAAGAATTGTTTTCCTTCAGCTGTGTTGGATTTTCGTACCTAAATTCAGAGAAATTTTTTTTACTTAATGTTAAGTAGTATCTAATGAGACAAGATATTTTGAATTATTGAACTTTCAATGTAATTGGGTCACTGATCTTGAAAACATATCCATTTTTCTCACAATGACATCGGGATTGTGGAACCTTTCCTCTGTTGCAGAACCGATCGATTGTATCGTCCAAGAACCAGCGCTGAATTAGTAAAATACCACATGTAGGCTTTAAAAAAAAAAAAAACCTCATTGTAATTACTTTCTCGGTAAGTTCTTTTTACTCGATACGACATGATGAGGGTGATTGCTTAAATTTTGATGGATTAACCTTGATATCATAGCGAAGTTAGAGAGATGAAGATAGCTTTATCCAAAATGTTCGATTCATGGTGGCGTAGCGGTAAATGCAAAGGGTCTAGATAGGGCCGACTAGCCCGATAAACCATCATTTTTCAGTTTCGCAAGGATATATTTCTCTCAAATTTTCCCTACCCCTCCTCCATGAGAACCCTTGGACCGTAAACCCCTCCCCACAGAAAATTTTGGACTGCGCCTCAGCCGATTCCATTGCATAACCCATGGACGTAGAGCACGGAGCCAGAATTCTACGTATTTTTATTCCTCTGATACCTCCCTGACTTCTGGAGGAACATTTCCTGCTGGTAACCTGGGATTTTCTCCCAATTTTGAAAAATTTTCTTGGAGAAACGCTTTTACAAGCAAAACGCAAATTTTCCCTACACATTACTACACAGCGCGGTCGAGGTAATTTTGACAAAATATTAGCGCTGTCGAGGTAATTTTGACAAAATAAACGCTGTCGAAGTAAATTTGACATAAAATCAGCGCGGTCGAAGAAAATTAGACAAAAATTAAGCGCGATTGAAGTAATTTTAACAAAAATCAGTGCGATTGAAGTAAATCTGACAAAACCAACGCTGTCGAAGTAGGTAATTTTAACAAAAAAGCAGCGCGGCTACCGCCGTAGTGTACATCGTGTTTTTCAGTGTACACCGTTCACCTGCGAGAGATTACTATACCTCGCCGGATCGTTAACATTCTGCACCCCTGATGACAATATCGCATTTCCTGATATTCTCCGGTTTTGCCAACGGTAAACATCCCGAAAACCAATGTGATGAATCCGTACCTCCACAAGCGTGTTTGAAGTCGGTGCAGCAGTCCCCGAGCTTCAAGCAAGCGTGATCGCAGTAGCAGGGCTTGTCACTCAGATCCTCGATGATGGCGTTGATGGGCGCCTTCTGGACGACACACGACGAGTCCCTGCCCGGGCAGCAGAGCTTCGCCTCCTTGCAACTCCCACAATACACACTCCGCACCGCCAGACAGACCACCCCGAAAACTTGCACCAGATTCGTCGCCGAGACCATTTTCCGAAACCGAGACCCTGAACAAACGACCGAATCGAGGAAAACGAAAATCCGCGATTCAAATGGATACCTCGTAGAATTCACGTGAGGATAGCCGGCACCACGTGTAGCGATCTAATCAGAACATCCTAGCGCGGGGCGGCACAGCCTTCCGAGGACGAGTTTGAGACGAGACTGAGCGACTCGTCCGAGCAAGGCGAGGGGATTCCTCTTCCCTTGGTCATCGGGCGGGGAGGTGCAACTTGCGCGCCCGCCGGGATTCGCTCAGGTGGTTTCGTTTTCTCCGGTTCCCTCTGGACATACTCCGATATTTAAATTAATCCATAATCGTAAATCGATACATATAGGATTTTTCGTAATCGATAATTATTTTACAGGGTGTCTACTTATACTCAGTATTTAAAATTCCTTGATTTTTCAGTACATTTTACTTGCTTTTTCCTTAATTTCCCAAAAATTCCTTTTTTTGAAAATCTTCGAACAAATTTGCTTTTTCCTTACTTCTTACTTAATACTATTTCCTTACCTCATACGAATTATTAACTTGTACCGATTTGGGAAGAGAGATGATGGAATGACAAAGGAATAATAACCGAAAAACACGAAGAATCGAACCGGGAATATGATAAATGATTCTTTTTTGGTAAATAGCACATCCCCAGGACTATTCAATAAAGTTCATCACGAAAATCTCGAATTTCTGTACTGTTCCTAGGAAAATCGGAACCTTTTCGATCCCTACCGATCTTCCGAAATCCGCGCGCTGGAAAAAAAAAAAAAAAAAAAAAAAANAAAAAAAAAAAAAAAAAAAAAAAAAAAAAAAAAAAAAAAAAAAAAAAAAAAAAAAAAAAAAAAAAACACATTGGATGTAGAGTCCAGACTCTTGAAAACATCGATAAGGAAGTGGACTCTTGATTCAATCAGACTTAAGCTTAAATCAAGAACCAAGCCTCTTAATTTGAGCGGATTTCCTTTTGATTTAAGCTTGAATCTGATTGAATCATGAGTCCAGTTTCTTGTCGATGTTTTTAAGAGTCTGGACTCTAGATCCAATGTGTTTTTTTTTCCAGTGTGCTTTTTCAGTGTATCCGTATACTTTTTACGTACAGTAGACACCCTATAAATGAAAATGCCGAAATAAACTAATCGATACGTTTTGAGCGTCAAGTTTTAGAATTTGCAGAAATGGATGGACAGACGTAAATCGTGGTTCCATTACTAAGGCTCATTTCATCAGAGTGTGTGTTTTATTCATAAATTTGATTTGGAATTATTATTCAAAGACTAGCATGTAATCCAGAAATATGAGGGTAAAATTTAAAAATAAATTTGATTTGGAATTGTTATTCAAAGACTAGCATGTAATCCAGAAATAGGAGGATGAAATTTAAACATTTTCAACTCCAGTCAGCGTGACTCTGAAGTTTTCTTTTAATGCCTCTCTGGAACCGAAGTTCATGCATTACATATATTTAAGACACGGAAATGTATCATTCATATTCTTTTTATTAAACACACTTGACATCATCAAATGATTAAAATGTTGAAGTGCGTTCATTCATTTAATTAATTCTCGTTAACATTTTTTCTATTTTCCTTGTTTTACAATTTGCTCTACTTTAAAATTGGAACTTCAAAGAATTAGTGTTGTTGTTTCTTTATTCTACTGACTGAGCTCGAAATCAACCGAATGAGATGTTGGTCATTTCGGTCTCTTTTACTGGAAACCTCACGATCCATTTTTTTCCATGTTATTTGTTCTAGTAGAAGTTACTTTATTTTTTTCCTCATTTAACTCCATTGTCTCGTTATTTGACTTTAGTTAACTCTGGGAAGTTTTTGAACAACTATTGTCTAAAGTATGTATTTTTTTTATTTTTTAAATTATTAATTCATTAGAAAGGATATGGCCCATTAGGAGTCTTTCCGCCCGTAATCCCTCTTGATCATGCCGTAATGGGAAAATAATTGCGAACATTACTTCATCCATAAAACATGTAAAAACTTTTAAAGTAATATTTAATGGTATTATGCCACCTCAAAACACGTACGTAGTGTTTCACTTGTTATTATGCATGTTATTATTTTCTTAGGGGGCTCTATGTCGGGTGACCAATGCAAATATATGTATCACTGACCGATGGCTGAATCTGAGGTGGAAGAATTTATGATATGCGCTACCGCAGTGAATGAATGGCGTCAAAGGCCGCGTTTTTCGAAGGACGATATACCTATCCGTTGAAATTTGACATGGAAAATAGGTGTTGCGTTGGTTACATAATGTTTGGTTGGTTAATTTCAAAATGGATCATTTCTGTGCGGAACATATATATGTATAGTTGAGCTAAAATCCCACGACCATCCCTGAATTTTATGAAAAAAATCGAGAAAATCGCAAATATAATGACCGGACGAAAGTTCGTTCATGAGAATTTTGAATTCTACCTTAGTACGTTCACATGAAACGTTCGACTCACAACAGACGTGAGATGAACTGACATAAGAGAAATAATGGAAAAGCTTAATATAGCTTAATATAAAAGCATAATAATATAAATACAGTAAATCGAAATTCTAACATTCGTCATCGTATTGCTTTGATTTTAAAAGTTACTCACAGTCGCAGTCTCACAGTATTTTCATGTCTTAGCTCTTAGCAAGCCTGCAAGCTGTTACAAGTTACAGCTCAGGTAAAAAGCCTTCCATACCCTGTGATACCATTTCCAATACACCTATCCACTTGCGTGCCGCGTGCGCAGCGGACAGCAAGGGTGAATGGAACTCCTTCCAAACGCTGTGATACCATTTGTGAAACACCTATCCATTGAGATGCACGACTGGTGCGTATATTTCCGGACGAGGAATTTTAAGTGATCTTCCTCCACTGGTATTTTCGAGCGTAAATTAAATTTTAGAATTTCGATCGAAGAAATTCGGGAGGCTGTAAATTACGCCAATTCCTTGTTTTTAGAGTGTAAATTCGCCCACCGTCCCGAACTGTAAATTCCGCCGATTTCACATTTTTCTAAAGTGTAAATTCCGCTGGTAAATGTTTTTTAAGAAGACATAATTTTGGAGTAGTACAAAATTGCTTACCTCTTAAGTGGCGCTAGGAGTTGAACTGAGGATGATAGCAGCTGTTGTTTGATGACGTTAAAAATACACAGTAAAACTAATTTTAAGGGTCACGGAAAAAACAAGATTAGTGCTGGGCACTACTGGCCGTTTAGTGGTGAGCAGTTGAGGGCTGGCGTCTAAGCTCTGTACAGCTCAACACAGGAAGGCAGTATAGGTGGGCACTGAACACCTACAGTAGTGCCAATCAGATGCCGCGAGACGCAGTTGCGCTTAACAGGTGTAAATACACTCACGTAGTATACAAGTCGCTATAGCCTGGTGGTAACGTGCTGGTCTACCGAAGCGTCAGCGCGACCCAGGTGCTATCCCAGGCGGAGGCGTTACATATTTTACGCTCGCCAAATTCACTTTAGGGTAGGACACTACTATTTCCTTATGTTGGTGACCCAGCCTCGAACTGTTTAGTGTCCAGCACTACTCGGAGTAGGTGGCTCCATTTGATCTAAACCAGTTTAGTGCCCAGCTCTACAGTGTAGGGCCCACCGCTACAGCCGTTTTTCCGTGGTGTAAAGAGCCCCACGCACGTGCCCACGTCGTATAACTTTTGGATTAAAAACTAAAATTTGGTTAAAATGAAGGAACAAATAGTTTTTACTTTCGGAAGTTGCTAAACCTCGAGTTAGGTTAGGTTAGGTTAGACAGAGGTTAGGTTTAGTTTAATTAACACGGAAAAAACAAGACTAGTGTTGAGCACTACTGACCGTTTAGTGGGGAGTAGTTGGGGGCTGGCGTCTAAGCGCTGTACAGCTCAACACCGGAAGGCAGTACAGGTGGGCACTGAACATGAGTAGTGCTAATCAGATGCCGCGAGACGTAGTTGCGCTTAACAGGTGTAAATTCACCCGTAGCACGTCGGAGTCACCATAGCCTGGTGGTAACGCGCTGGTCTTTCTCCGTCGCAACTCGAGTTCGATCCCAGGCGGAGGCGTTTCATATTTTACGCTCGCTCCAAAGTCACTTTAGGGCTTGACACTACTTCTTCCTTAGTGACCCAGCCTCGAGCTGTTTAGTTCCCAGCACTCCTCTGACTTGGTGGCTCCATTTGACCTAACCCTCGTTAGTGTCCAGCACTAACATGTAGGTCCCAACCCTAAGCTCGTTTTTTCCGTGAAGTTTAACTTCACAGAGGCTCCGTACCATTCCAAAAACATTTACCTTTTACACCTTCGGCGGAATTTACAATTACTCGCGGAGAACAGTAGGCGGAATTTACATTTTTCGTGGCTTGGAAAATCGGCGGAATATACCACTTTCGGCGGAATTTACTAGCGCGTCCAGAAATTCAAAGACACGCTATCAATACTGGCGTCTATGCGAGTGGTCAGGAAAGGAATGTAAATTCATACCCTGTAGTTGTTTTTGTCACGAGCGCTGAATTCTGAGTTTTATTTTCTCCGACAATATTTTGACACCTACGGAAATTATTATAATTTCGATCCGACAATTTTAAAAACACGCTATCAAAGTCAACGCAACTGGAAAGAAAATACTAACAAACCCTAGGCTCCTTTTCCATTCTTTCCGGACAGCCATTCGGAAAGCGGAATCGTGAGTTTTATGTCGAACGATATTTTTGAATCTACGGACTGAGGGAGAGTCTACGGACGTTATGGACTAAAACGCTAAGGGCACGATGCAAATTGAAGAAACATCATAACGGTCCGTAGTCTGCCTGTCAAAAGGTCTATACCCTGTTTTTTCCCGTCACTCTTAGCCCCATTGTTCATCTATTCCTAAAACTTCCTGCTGAGGGATGCAACGAGAGGGTTCTTGCATCTGTTGTGGTATCTCGCAGGAATGAAGGCTCCCTGTTGACCCGCAAAACGCTCATCGTTGCGTTGTGTCGCGTCGCATCGAGAGCTTGCTCAAGGTCTAGTCAGTTCAGAATGTCATTAAAGCCAGTCATTATTATCAGATAATTACAGCAACTAATTTATCATCATTTGTGTAAATGGAACCCATAATAAATAAGAGTATCGTTGTCCACACGTGGCATACAAAGGGTGTGAATCTGCCCGATGGGTCGTTAACGACCCACTCAATTTCAA